TGAAATTTCCTCTTTCTACAGGCAGCCTTAAATTTGTTGGTGGAACACTGGTTGATTTTTACAGCAGCATACTTGTATTTCACCATGTCATGCATATATTGTGAAGGTACAAGTATAAGATTTAAAAATATTATTTCATTATAGTACAAGTCATTTATTGCTACTTTTCAAAAACATTGTCACATTCAAAAAAATTGGAAGCTATTAATTAAGATTTTTACAAGAACTTGAAGATTCTGAGTAGGAGCTTGATTAAAGGAATTAAGGAATTGTGAAAGCTCCTTGATACATCTGTATCTTGTGGTGTATTCAGTTTATTAGACCATTTTATGTATCTGTTTTTCATTTTTGAGGACCATAATGTAAAATGAAAAGAAAAATAAACAGTCATCAATCTCATAAATCCTGTAAACAACAACATGATTCATAAACAGGGCAAAAACACACCTGGAACCACCAGAGGTGGGATGTCAGCAGTCCTTGCCTTTATGACTGGTCACACTTGCCGTGAGCCCTCTGTATTGAGGAAGAAAACTGAGATTTCCAATGTCAAAATTAGTATATAAGCAACGGCCTTACAATTGGAACATGTAGAATGAAATGGTCAAATTTTAATCCAACACCAAGTTGTATTTGCAAACAAGGTCATTATAAAAACCGTAGTTCTATAAGTAATTGTGACTTAGTGAATTCAAACAAGATTGTTGAAAGCCCTGTACTATCAACTTATTTGTCAGTAGCCTGCCTTGATTTAAAATTATCATACTCAGAATGTGGTCAAAAACTTAATGGATAGCCTTTCATATCGGATACAATTTTTTGTTTATCAAAGTTGAAATATCAATGGTTTTTCATGTACATGTAGCATGTTAAGGGACAGGACAAATGAAGGTTTAAAAATAGCAGTTCAGGTTTCAAGAAGAAGAGGTCGCCTGCGTGGCGCAATGGTTAGAGCGTTCGCTCTAGAGTCACGGAGTAAGGAGTTGATCCTTACATCGCGGGTTTGAATCCCACTGTGGGACGTGGAGACCGGTCCTTCGGATGAGACCGTATAAACCGAGGTCCCTTGTCGCAGTAGGTTCTGGCACGAAAAAGATCCCTCACTGCTCAATGGCCCTAAGTGTCGAGTATTGGTCAAAATTTGTAGCTCTCCACCGGCAAGTGATGGCGTCTCCATATGAGTGAAAAATTCTTGAGAGGGACATTAAACAATAAACAAACAAACAAGAAGAAGAGTGTGAAGTCAGACATTTGTGGTTAGATTGTATGTAAAAATTACCTTTTAATCAGAGATACATGTATTACAAATGTTTGTGATACTATTCATAAAGACACCAACTCAGTTAAATATATTGTTATATATTTATTTACACTATGTTTTAACAATGGAATTTAAAAGCTTAGTGAATGTCAATTTCATTAGTTAACATGCTACACTTATGGTCTCTCAGAAAAAAAATGAATTCAAATTTTAGGAAAATTTAACAGAATTATCAAAATAATATAGTCAAACTTTATCTTGAATCTGATGGGGCCAAGAGAAAACCTCGAGATATCTGAGGATTCGAGATATTAAGGGTAAAATACTTAAAGGATAAGTAGTTGGGACTTGCTAATCACTTTGACATATCCATGGTATTTGAGATGGAGTTTGATTTAAGAACAATATTAAACCAAAAAATTCTATAAATACACATTGTTACAAATTATGAAATGTTCTTATATTATTTACAGTGTAATACATGTAGATTTTGTTCTTTGGTTTCTTTCTTAGATGAATTTGGTTTTAATGGGCAGAATTACCTGACACTAGATGTAACTTTAGGAGAAGAGGAGCTGAACGCCTTTACTCTAGAATTGAGATTTAAGTCTTACAAAAAGGATGGCTTAATTCTTATACAACGCTCTCCTGCTTTAATGCAGTTTTACTCTGTCTCACTAGTCAACAAGCTGGTTGTATTTTGGTAAGAACATTTATTATTAGGGATGGGTATCGGCAAAAATTTCATATCGTGATATATCACGATTTTTTCCCAAAAATATCACAATAAATTGTGATATTTTTACACAGAATTTTTACTATTATTTCAAATGAATTTCCATAATATTTCTTTAAAATATGCTATAAAACACACCTTTACTTTTTAAATTTTTATTTATTTAATATAAAGCATGTTTGGATGCAGTTCTTTAATTGTTTTCAACATTTTTTACACTTCCTATAATTGCCATTCAACAGTTTCAACAAATAAATGAATAATTTCCGGAATTTATAGTTATGTACCAAATATCGGTATTTTAGTATACGTATCATGCAATAAAAAATCGCGATATACTGGTATACCGATAAAATCGCACATCCCTATTTGTTATACTATAACCCTTACCGTCTCCTAGAAGGATCTACTTACATCAAAAATTACAATACCATATTAATTTTATTGTGTTCAGCTCACCAGAAGTTAAGATTTCAATTTCTCTTTTTAGCTCACCTGAGCTGAAAGCTCAAGTAAGCTTTTCTGATCACCCATAGTCTGCTTCCGTCTGTCTGTAAACTTTTAAAATTTTCAACTCTTTCTAAAGAACCACTAGGCCAATTTTAACCAGAGTTGGGTAAAGGGGAATTTAAATGAAGGGCCAAGTCCCCTCTAAGGGGAAATAATCAAGAAAAGACAAAATTAGGGTGGGGTCATCAAAAAATCTTCTTCTGAAGAAGCACTGGGCCAGAAAAGCTGAAACTTATGTGGAATCTTTCTGAGGTAGTGTAGATTCTATTGTTCAAATTATGCCTTTTATTAATCAGAGATGAATGGAAGTTGCTTATAATATTACTTTATTGTACCAATCAAGGTTTCAGATACTGCAATTTCAGGTAAAGGATAAATGTTTTTGGAACAGGTTAAGGTTTTTGGTGCAGGTTAAAGTTTTCGGAGCAGGTCTCATTTCCAAGTAACTGTAAGCCCTATATTGACCAAACTTGCATTAATGGTACATCTAAGGATGCACACTGCCATGCAGGTTTGCTTCGGATACTGAATCTGACCTACATTTTCTGGATGAGTGACCAGGTTAAAGTTTATGGTGAAGATCTCATTTCCAAGTTACTGTAAGCCCTATGTTGACCAAACTTGCATGGATGATACAACTAAGGATGCACACTACTGGACTTGCTTTGGATGCTGGATCTGACCTACATTTTCCAGATTAGTAACCAGGTTAAAGTTTTTGGAGCAGGTCCATTACAAAGAAACTATAAGGCCTATCTGAACCAAACTTGCATGGATGATGCATCAAGGGATGAACACTCTGAAACTTGCTTCAGATGCTGGATTTGACTTTCATTTTCTGGATGAGTGACTAGTTTAAAATTTTTTAGATAAGTCCATTCCCAAGTAACTGCAAGCCCTATCAGACCAGAATTGCCTAAATGTTGCATCTAGGGATGCACACTACTAGATTATTAGTTTAGTGTTGGACTTTGCCTTACTTAAAGACAACATTTGTTGAGGTTAGTTCTGTAATCTCTGATTTCCTGTGTTTTTAAAATCATGGATCCCAGGTTAGAGTCGGTTAAAATCAAGACCAGTTTGTACATACAGGGAAAGAATTTTCTTTTCCAAAAATTGCAAGACCATGTTAATTCATTTTGATATTGAGGCATCCCATCTTGTGTTGATTTAGAGACTCCTTTGAGTTAGGGTGGGAACATAATATGTGGTCACAATTTTTCATGAGAACATAAAATTCTCGTAAAATCTTCTGAAGAATAGCAAGGCTAAAGTTGTTCAGGTGAGTGTCGTGGCCTCTTGTTTTCAGATCGAACAAACTGATCTGTATTTACAATTAAAAAATAAAAAAATTTTATAAAACATTTTATTATTTAAATGTCTCTTAATTCTCAATTTATTGTGTATTTACCCATGGTATTTCTTCAAAGTTCATCATTATAGTTAATCATATTATATAGGGAAAATTCTCAAATCTCAAACATATTTTCCGCAAATGCAAATGAAGCACCCACTATGCATTTTCTAATTGAAAATTGATCAACAAATATATTTTAGGAAAAAAATTCTAGGTATTCAAGCTTTGCATGTTTTTATACTTATGCAGTACTTTAGTTTTATTTGCTTCAATTGTTATACATTGTACATAATTGTTTAATACATAGTGTAAAACCTTTGTGCTATCATTGTAAGATATCATTGATCATTTTTAATTTCATATCATGCTAATAAAATGGTATCTAAGGCTAGATTTAAGGAAATTCAATTTCTCTAAAAATTGTATTCGTATTTGTACTTTTATATAGGGTACAAATGTCAACTTTTTACAAGACCATTTCTAAACTTCAAAGAACCTTGAATCATATTGAGATGCATGAAATGAAAATTGTTGCATGAAAAGATTTCAATTTCAAGCTCAATTTTGAGACTTTTTTGATTAAACGATAATTTTAGGAGTAAAACTTCTTGACTAAGGAGCGGATATCCTCAAGCACTTTTCTATCTCTCATTTTCTTTCAGTCAGAGATTAGGTCATTTAAATTATCCTTACCAAAAAAGCTTCTTCTTTTTTTTAATTAAATAAAAAAAATGAGGTCCTGATGCATTGCAGGTTTTCCAGAGCTACACTGTAAGAGCATACAGGAACAACTACCACAAATTTGATTCAGTTTATCTTTTTGATTTATGAGTATTATTCTAATGTTAGGTAAATTAATATATGTATATAAACTTTTTCAGGTTGAATTCTAGTAAAATCTTAAAGATAAAGAGCATACATCCTATACAGTATGATGACTGGAATTACGTCACTCTAACAAAGACAAGCAATCTGATAAGTCTAACTCTAAATGGCCATCCTGTAATTGAGGTAATTTACTAAAACAATTTGACAAAGTACAGGGAATGATTTGAATGAATAGTAGTTTGATTCTTATACAGTCCATTTTGTTTCTTTGTTTTCTTTTTTTAAAAGAAACAGTTACGGATACTGTTATGGTCTATGACTTCACACTCAAGAAGTGTGTAATAGCTTGTCAATTAATGATAATATTTTTTATATGTATTAAGTATCAAGTCAGTGGTTTTCCAAAAGTTCTTGAGAAAAGGGAAGGAGAATACATGGTTCTTTTATTAAGAAAAAAAAATGTGCTGCATACATTTTGGATGAATGCATGCTTCTATTAGATACATTCCCATATACTAGATTTTTTTCATAAATGGTTATAAAGTATGGAATCATTTAGAAAATTTAATAAATTCTCAGGCAATTAAATATCAAATATTGATCTTAAAAAAAGTAAGAGTATGAAATAAGGAATACTATATACATGTAGTTCAAACAGGATTCAGAAAAGGGTGTAAAAATTTATACATTGTGTTAGTCGCGACACTGTAAGTGACCGAGGTGATACTTATGTCATATATTTCATTTATTGCCAAATCCTTCAACATTTCCATGTCTTTTACAAACATACAAATAAAATGAATGTATTTGTTTTTTTTTGCTTTTAAGAGTGAGAAATTGGGAGGTTGGCTAGCACAAAATCAGCTGTCCCTGAGTGAGGAGTTGTACTTGGGGGGCTACCATACCCCCTCATTGTTGACCACTGAGAGCCCCACATTTCTGCCTTTCAGTGGGTGTGTCAGGGAATTGACATTCAGAGGGAAAAAGCAGTGGTATAGTGTAAGTAACTGATTAATGACTGTCAAGTGTATTTCAGTGTGGCCTGAGTCACTAAGTGACCTATTGCAATCTGTTTTCATCCGTCGTCATACGTTGTCCGTCTTTCGTCAATCGAACATTTTCAGCTTCTTTTCTGGAACCGCTGAATCAATTTCAACAAATTTTGTCACAGAGCATCAGGGACATTCACAAAAATTGTGAATTTCATGGCCCCTGTCTTCCTGGGGCCTTACAGATGGGACCAAAACCATCAAAATAAATGCAATTTTCAAAAATTTTCTTCTCTACTCCTGGACATCAAGCAGTCAAACTATATAATTATAACATAAGTGAGTCCTTCACCAGAATTGTAAAATTCATGGCCCATGGGTCGGGTTCTGAAGTTAGGGTTGACTCTTACTTTCTTCTTTCAGTAATTTTTCTACATCCTCTTTAGGTCCGAATATCGGCTCTTTCCCCTCTCAAAAATTACCGATTTTTTCCCAATTTCTATTGCTTTTTTCCCAAAACAAAACCGATGTTTTTGTTATATTGAATTTTTTACGTACGACTTATCTAAAATGGAACGCTATTGTTCTCGGTCATTCAGACTCTTAAAATAATAGTAAGAAACAACAGATTACGTCGTGCGTTTACAAGACTTAGAAAAACACATGGTCATGTCAAACCTGTTGTATAAATACATCGTAAGAAAGTGTAATGTGCATGTGAACTGGCAAAACGTAGCTCTATTTGTACATCCAAGTACTAGTAACTCTACAGTAAGCATAAAAATCAAACTGTTTCTACATCCGGCAGATGCAACTAGTATTGCAGAGAAATGGCAGCAATATGATTAGCTAGGGTCATAAATAAGCTTTAATAATTAGTTTGAAAAAAAAAATGATTTGTCATTTATCATGTCAGATTAGTCTATCTTCAATGGCTATTACGAGAAAGATTTTCTCTTATGTCTACCATTATGGCCAAAAGAAAAAGGAAATATAGGTTGGTCACAATTATTGACAACTTTCAAAGATTAAAAAAGGGTTAAGAATTTAGAACTGTGTAGAATTTGTTACTTTTTAGCAAATAAATTGAATAAATGATGTTACATTTACTTATATACCAGTATTTCATTTTACCTGCCAATTAAGGTTAAATTTCAATCTTTTTGATTTTTCCCAATTTGATACAAATGTCGATGATTTTTCCCAATTGTAAAGGCCCAGGCTCCTTTTAAAAAATGTAGAAAAATCACTGTTTTTAAGTGTCCCCGCTTTCTTGAAAGCGAGGGGACATTTAATCTCATTCATCTGTCTGTCAGTCTGTCTGTCACAAAAACTTTAACCTTGAGAAGAGATAGGTCTTTCATATTTCATATGTACATTACCTGTGACAAGACCTTTCCAAATATACTATGATTTTTGACCCTGTGACCTTGACCTTGAAGTTTGGCCTACTTTTCAAAAATTGTATCTTTGCTTATAACTTTTGATTGAGAAGAGATAGGGCTTTCATATTTGACATGTGCATTACCTATGACAAGACCTTTCCAAAAACACTATGGTTTTTGACCCCGTGACCTTGAAGTTTGACCTACTTTTTGAAATTTTTATCTTTGCTTATAATGTTTGATTGAGAAGAGATAGGGCTTTCATATTTGAAATTTCCAGTTTGTGTAATGGCGCCGGTTCTGACGTTTTCCTGGCACGTACAATATCAAAATCGTGAAAAAAGCCTGGAAAACGTCAGATATTTCGGACTACCTTAACCTTGATGTAGGGAGAGGGCTAAAATAGGCTAAGCCTGCTGCCCAATCCTATTCACTTCTAGATCTGTGAATAAAATATTGTTTAAATAAAAAGATCTGGAAGCAGGTATTTCCAAGAAATTATAAGGCCAAAATAAAAAATACCTTTGTTTCCCTTAATGTGACCGACCCACTTAATTTGTGCCGACTGAAGAGTTTTTGTAATAATATTATTCAAATATTTTTTTTTAGTGTTCAACAACTTTATAAAATACAATTTCATGAAAATTTTGTGAATTAAATATACCGTGACTAAGGAGTGGTGTTTAGATGGTATTTACAAATGTGTCTTCTAAATTTAACGTACGTAGTAAGCATGGCAAAGCCTGCCTCATGAGCAGATGAGGGGCCCACCTTGTGTATACATATCAATGATTTTGACTTCGTTTCATTTGTTTCGATCTAATAAACAGTTTATGTAGGATCCTATTTTTATTATATAGAACCATAGGAGTTCTTCATTCCTTTTATTTATGGGGTAAAACTTCGTGAATATACATACATGTAACATTAGATATATGAATTTTTAATCATTTTAGATGTGGTTTTGTTGAATTAAATACTGTTTATACATGTACACTCTTTCCAAATAGTGTTGAAATCTTTAAAATCAGCTTATTGTACGGCTTCCCAAGACATCCCGTGTATTTTCCTTTGATTAAGCCCTTGAAAATAAGCTGTTCCTTTGCTTTAAAATACCTTTAAAAATTGTTGAGTCAACAACATTTGAACACCTGCCTGGTGGAGGGCTCCTAATATAGACTTTTACTCGGCACTTATGGCCATTGATCATTAATCAAGGGATCTTTTTCGTACCAACATTTACATGTATACTGCGACACTGGACCTATGTTTTTTATGGTCTCATTCGACTGACCAGTCGCCACATTCCACATCGGGACCTGTGACTTAGAATAAGCTCCTGAATTATGTCATGACTCCAAAACAAAACACTAGAATCACTGTGCCATGCGAGGCCCTTGACATTTTGTCTGTGTAAGCACTCGAAGATGATAGGTTTAAAAAATATACTTGGATGTCCGATGGTTGAGCATTTGTGAATCTTGTCTTTTTGTAAATATTCGATTTCAATACGCTGGCCTGCGATACATGTATTTCACAAGTTCAAATGAATAATATTTGGGAATTAATTTACCATACGTGTTGCTTTTAAATTTATTTAAAAATCTGTATCTTTTGTTCTTTTTTATTTACAGAGATATTATTCAATTTTTCAGAATGTATTTTCAAACTGCTGTCAGAAAAAAAGATAATTTACCTACCTACCTACCCAACTTGAGATTTTAGGGTTGGTTAGGGGAAACAAAGATATTTTTAATGATGGCCTAAGGCCTATATTGACCAAACTTGCATGGATGATACATGTAAGGATGCACACTACCAGGCTTGCTTCAGATGTAACTATATACCCTATATTGACCAAACTTGTGTAGATGATACATCTAAAGATGCACACTGCTTGTCTTGCTTCAGATGCTGGATCTGACCTACATTTTCTAGATGAGTGACCAGGTTTAAAGTTTTTGGAGCAGGTTCATTACCAGGAAACTATAAGGCCTATCTGAACCCAACTTGCATGGATGATGCATCAAGGGATGAACACTCTGAAACTTGCTTCGGATGCTGGGTCTTACTTTCATTTTCTGGATGAGTGACTAGTTTAGAGTTTTTAGATAAGTCCATTCCCAAGTAACTGCAAGCCCTATCAGACCAGAATTGCCTAAATGTTGCATCTAGGGATGCACACTACTAGATTATTAGTTTAGTGTGGGGCTTTTCCTTACTTAAAGAGATGAGCTCTGTAATCTCTACCTATGTTTGAAATTCTTGGGCAGCATAGCTTCATCTTTCGGTTAATTTTGTTTTATGCCTCTATGGATTCTTTAGAGTGTTGTATTTTACACAGGTGACCATTAAGGCCCTTAGGCCTCTTGTTTTATTTGTTTCAGTGAATGGTGTTGCCATGGTAACTAAACAAAAAATTCGTTGAAATTGCTTTAAAATGCTACTACCCCCTTACAGTTCAAGTCCAATTTCAATATAACTTGGTACACAAGTAGACCTCACTATGACCACAGACTCACCATATATATATATATATATATATAATAATCCTAATTTAGAAGTACAGGGCAGAAATGAATAATCTCTCTACAAACTCAGAGAAGATTTTTTTTTAAACGATTGAAAGTCGGTACATCTCATTCTTAAGACTGGATATTTTTCTCAATACAGTTATACAAAGAGTACAGATTGTCACAGGACACAGTGATGCAAGATAAACTGAGGAGAGGACTCCTAAGTAATTCAGCAGTAATTTTAATGTTCCTGTTTTGTTTTGTTTTTTTTGGTTCATGTTTATATATGTGTTACAGCTGTTTGAATTTCTTTCCCTGATGGTAACATTTGTCTGCCTCTGAATAATTTTAACCTTTAAATTGGCCACAACTTCAGATGTAATTTTAGAGATTTCATCTTCAGATCAAAGTTATACTTAGATGTCAAAATTTCTGTATATCAATTTGATCAAGCAAAAAAGTCACATTTACTTGTGTGTCTTTATTCTTGTAATGTTGACTAGCTATAATGTGTATAAGATATATTCTTTAAAAAAAGATTCACAAGATGTTAGAAAAGAAGAAAACCATCACATTAACAACTAAGAAGTTTATTTGTTTACTTATACGAGGGGTGATCAAAAAGTTTGCGAACAAATTGAATTGCTTCCATAAAGGAAATAAAATTAGGTCTCATTGTTTATTATTTTTTAAAGTAGTCCTCTCCGATTTTAATGCACATCTGCAACTGTTCTGCCCATGCGCCAATCACGTGATCCAGGCGGTCACGAGGCATACTCCGTAGCGTTCTGTTCACAGAAGCTTAAAGATTTTTCCGAGTCTTATATTTTTTTTACCATGAAAGTTATTTTTTATAACAAGAACAATCCATTTGTCAGAAATGGCTAAATATCGGCAATAGGATGGGTGGATAAGGATATCCTTTCCCAGAATGAGCATGGTGACCGTCAAAACCTGAGTCCTCTGTCCCGGGAGTGTCTTTTATCCAATGTGGATAAAGCATGGGCGCCTTCTTTTTATCATATCTGATATGTTTAAAGTCTAAAGTAAATGATATTTTAGGGATTTAATAATTATATTATTGTTAAGATATTCAACTATTTTTCTAATTGTAATTTGGCGATCTTTCATAACAAATTGCTCAACTAAGGACACATCTCTTCTCCAGCTTGCTTTAACTGGGCAACAAAACAAACATCATTTTTAACAATCTCCCCTCCTTCACTAAAACAATCGATCCAATTAATGATTGAACTTCTGGCAAGTCTTTTATCTTCATAAACCTTGTACAAATTATTATATGTTACTGCAAAGGAATTTCCAAGATATATGAAAAACTCTACAGCCGTTCATTGCTCGAGTACGACTAAGTCAACCATTTTTTGTCAGAAGTCATCTATATATAGTCGTCATTTTCACATTGTGACGTCACAAACAGGGAGCAAAAATCACATAACATCTGCTATTTATAGAACATTTGTACGACTATATGTGTGCCAAATTTAATTCTGATCTGAATTGTGATTTTGTAAATATAGAGATAGTTCGCTGACTTTTTGATCACCCCTTGTACATAATGTATCAGCTGTTTATGTCCAGACAGATTAGTTTTGTCAGCTATGACAGCATTATTAATTGCATGCAAATAGTTAAAACATTTTATATTAGCTGGACAAATCAATTTTGCAAAGTCCTATTCACTCCTTCATTTTCTGTATCAAATTAAAAGAGGATATATTCAATGTTTTGTTGTTGGATATGGAATTCATTTCACAAGTGGGACAGGATTTTTTGATATTTTGATGAGTGCGAAGCACAAGTGAAAATATTTAAAAAAAAATCCTGTCTCACAAGGGAAAACACAAGAAAATCCTGTCTCACGAGTGAAATAAATTCCATATCCAACTACAAAACACTGAATTTTATGTTTATTACATTTTCTTTGATTTTCCCTTTGCCTCTGTCTTTTCTTAACACAATGTCATATGCTGTGACGTCATAGTTGAGCAGTTGAGACGTCATAGCTTAGCAATTGTGAGATTGAAAACATTGTAACATGGATTTTAGCAACATATTTGGGAAGAAAGTAACAGTTTTACTCTCTATCAAGATGGTTTAGTTTAGTGTTGTCAAATCAGATGATTTTTAGTAACCGGTTACTCGCTTTCTTTTCCAATCAAGTAACGGGTTACTCGGATGTTTCTCTTTAGACCTCTAAACATCCTTGTTCGTGATGCATACACCCATTAGTTACTGTAATATACACTATATGTTAGGTCATTAAAGTTATTACAATTTTTACCGGTATATTTATCTTATCATTTGTAAAAGAGAAATGCACTGTATGTGAATTTTATTTATAATTACAAACAAGCGATATCTTCTTAATACAGTCCGAAATAGTTGGCTGTTTTGCGGGATATCCTTTACATATCGCTGGTTTCAGAGTTTTACTTCTGTCTGCGGTGATTTAGCATATTTGTTGTCCCACCTGTATGTGTTAACTCAATTTTACATAAATAACACCTCACGGATCTAAAATTATCCATTCTTTTTTAAATATTTCCATGCTTTTGTTACATGTGGCGGTATTGTCTTTGATGTTGTACAGCGAACTATCTTACAAAGATTTATTTGATGTAATTATAATTAACGTGTATACATACCCCTTGACAATCAAAGCCATCAATTATATAAACTGTGAAATACTAATCAAAACAAATGGATAGTATTGGTAAAACGCTAGGTCTTATATTGAATAGATCTAACGGTAAATAATTTATCAAATAGGGGGAATTTGTAAATAAAAAACATTTTTTCCTACTGATTTTCTATATAAAATGTCTATTTATCTGAGTAACCGAGTAGCAGTTTTACTAATCGATACTCGCATCATTCACCAATTAACTGGTTAACTGGGTACTCGTTGACAACACTAGTTTAGTTACTATATCTTATGACAGGCCAGAAATCATTTTTACATACTTTGATATCATTTAAATTCACACTGTGAGAGAAGATCACATTGGTATCCTTTCACACTGTGAGAGAATATCACTTTTATTCAATAAATAAATCACAGTATTTCACTGTTGAAAATGTTATAAGTAGAGGATATTCAATGTTTTGTAGTGGGATATGGAATTTTTTTCACGAGTGGGATAGGATTTTTTAAATATTTTCACGAGTGTGAAGCATGAGTGAAAATATCAAAAAATCCTGTCTCACGAGTGAAATAAATTCCATATCCAACTACAAAACTCTGAATTTTCTGTTATTACATTTTCTTTGATTTTCCCTTTGCCTCTGTCTTTTCTTAACACAGTGTCATAGGCTGTGATGTCATAGTTGAGCAGTTGAAACGTCATAGCCGAGCAGTTGTGATATTGAAAACATTGTAACATGGATTTTAAAAGCAACACATTTTGGAAGAAACCAGCAGTTTTAGTCTTTTTTAAGATGGTTTAGTTACTATCTCTATCTTATTACAGGCCAGAAATTATTTTTTACTTACTTTGATATCCTTTCACACTGAGAGAATATCACTTTGGTATCCTTTCACACTGTGAGAGAATATCACTTTTATTCAATAAATAAATCACAGTATTTCACTGTTGAAAATGTAATAAAATTTCAACTTCCACTTTAAATTATTATTAGCTCACCTTGACGAAGTCAAGATGAACTTATGCTATACCCCTGGCTTTGGCGTCCCGGTTAAAGTTTTAGGAGCAAGTCCATTCCCAAGTAACAGTAAGCCCTACCTGGGTCAAACTTGCACGGATTATGCATCTAGGGATGGACACTACCACACTTGCTTCGGATGCTTGATCTGACCTAGATTTTCCAGATGAGTGACTAGGTTCAAGTTTTTGGAGCAAGTCCATCTCCAAGTAACTATAAGCCTTACCTGGACCAAAATTGCTTCAATGATGCATCTAAGGATGGACACTATCAGACTTGCTTCGGATGCTGGATGTGACCTAGATTTTCCAGATGAGTGACCAGGTTTAAGTTTTTGGAGCAGGTCCATTCCCAGGTAAATATAAGCCCTACCTGGATCAAACTTATCTAGGGATGCACACTAACCAACGTTCTTCAGATGCTGGATTTGGCTTAGATTTTCCATAAGTGAATTTTAGCCATATTTTAACCGAATTAGCATGGATGACGTAGGTGTCTAGGGATGGACACTTCCAGACTTGCTTTGGATTGTGAATCTGACCTACATTTTCCAGAGAGTGACCAGGGTAATTTTTTTGGAGTAGCTATATTATATTATGGCCTGTTATGATTAAACTTGCATAGATGGTGCATTTAAGGATGAAAACTTCCAGACTTGCTTTGGATGTTGGAACTGACCATAATTTTCTTAATTAGTAAACAGGTTAAAAGTTTTTTTTGAGCAGGTCTATTTCCAAGTAACTATAAGTTCTACTTAAACAAAAATTAATGCATGGATATTGATCTTGGGATGTACACTAACTAGAAAAAAAATATGATGTGAAATTTGCCTTACTTATAGACATATAACATTTGTAGCTCTAGGTGAGCTTTGTAATCTTTGATTAATTGATTGTTTTTTTAAGTTGATCTTTATAGAACTGAGCGGAAAAAAAGGAAAGAATTTACCAATATGAGAAAATTAAATAAGTGAAGAAGTCCATTAAATCAAATGAAAAACAATCACATCTTTATTATAATGCACACTTGCATTTATTAGATAATATTTGACATTGTATTTTGAAGAAAGCTGTGATGTGACAGAACTGTGTAATTTTACCATAACTGCCAAGAATCTGACAGCCAACTTAAATCAGCTGTGTCACTGGCCGGGGTCAGAGGTCGCCATCACTGCCGAGGTTGTACCCAACTGTTCCTCAGATCCTCAAATAGCTTATCAGTGGGTATGTTTCTCTACAAGCTTATCATTCAATTTGTTTCTCAACTAGCTTATCAGTGGGTATGTTTCTCCACTAGCTTATCAGTTGGTATGTTTTTCCACTAGCTTATCACTGGGTATGTTTCTCAACTAGCTTATCAGTGGGTATGTTTATCCACTTGCTTATCAGTTGGGATGTTTATCCACTAACTTATCAGTGGGGATGTTTATCCACTAGCTTATCAGTGGTTTTGTTTCTCCAATAACTTATCAGTCAATATGTTTCTCCACTTGCTTATCAGTGGGTATGTTTCTCCACTAGCTTATCAGTGGGTATGTTTCTCAACTTGCTTATTAGTGGGTATGTTTCTCAACTAGCTTATCAGTGGCTATGTTTATTCACTTGCTTATCAGTGGGGATGTTTATCCACTAACTTATCCATGGGTATGTTTATCCACTAGCTTATCAGTGGTTATGTTTATCCAATAACTTATCAGTCAATATGTTTCTCCACTTGCTTATCAGTGGGTATGTTTATCCACTTGCTTATCAGTGGATATGTTTCTCTACTGGCTTATTAGCTGCAATAATGTAGCCCTCTCCGATTTTTTTTAATCTGATGTTTTTAGGAGAGGGCTACAATTCCACTGCATCTCCGTAATGGTGCAAATATATTTTTTAGATACGGGCAACTGCAGGCAAAATAAATTGTGTTCATTTCAATATTTCCACTTACCTGCCTCCTTAACTATTTGCAATTTCCCTCTAGTTCCCCATACAATGCGTCGATAAATTTTTAGAGTCACTACGGTATTACCTCCAGTTATCCCCCTTAACTATAACTCTTCAGTTTTCTCTCGACGCCATATTGGACATGCGGTTTTCCTCATACAGTGCAAATAAAAGTTTATATTGGCGTTTTTGGAAGTGTGTATCGCGTTCTAAAAATGGAGAATGAGTTTAAGGACTGTTCTAAATGTTCGGGTAAGATGAACATATTAGACGATCACGTTTTTTGTTACAAACATCGTCTCTGCAACGAGGCCTTTCCATGTGACACATGTAAAACATGGTCAAAGGAACGGCGGGATAAAGTAACTAAAATGATTGAGAAAAGCGTACAAAAGACTATTAAAATGAACAGTAAGGTGCCTCAATCCGTCTGTGGAGACGGTATGGCAGGGCAGGACGCAAGTCCGTCTGTGGAGGCGGCAGTCCACGAGTCGAACAACAATGGCGACCGTATTAAATGTGGATCAGAGGTTGTTGATTTATCAGCAATTATTCAAGACCAAGTAAGACAGCAGGTTGAATTGCTACTTAAGCATAAGGATGTTGATGAAAATTTTTATGATCAACAGAACGTATCAGTAGGCGAGGTAAGGTTGACCAGAGGAAATGAGAGCAACAATTCCAAAACGGCAGCCATAGGCAGACCTCATTTTGACAAGTTTAAGTCTTATGATGAACAAATGTCGTCCTTTGAGTCCAGTGTTGCTGATGTTTTGTCTGTTAATGCACAAGACAATGATTTTGAGGATATAGGTTCAAATGCATCTATCGCAGGGTTGTATACCAATTCAGATGCGCCAGTAGAGGTGCCTTTTGGTGCACCAGATTCTTCAGATCCTCTGCAGTGGAACTGTTTTGTTTCTAAGATGGCAAAGGTTCTCAATATTGATATTGAAGCTGAGGATCCATTGGAAAATGAGAGAAAATCATTTATTTCTTCTCGATTGAAAGGAGATAAGAATGACAAGAAAAAGTCTCTCCTCAAAATGCCTATTGAAGGAACACTCATTGATATGATTAAAACAGTTGAAAAAGAAGCTACCTCGGGGCATTTGAAAAATAGGTCAGTACGTGGCAGAGATGATAAAGCATTTATGGTGAAAAAAGATGACTTTGACGCCTTTTGTAATCCTCCAAAATTAGATGACAATATTGAGGAGGGGTTAGTAGTAGGCCAGAAAGGTAGTTTTGGAAAATCAAAAGTTAATCTCTCTCCTTTTCATAAGGAGTTAGACAATGACTTTCGGCGAATTGACAATTCAGCAAGAGCCTTATTCAGGGCCATTTCTTATGGTACTATGATAGCAGCATTTTTAGATGAGGCTGAATGTGAGGATGATCGAGTGGAAGGACGTAAAGCTCTCATCAACTGTTTCAGAAGTATGGCCGATTTGACAGCAAGAGTAATGGCAAATTCAGTCTTGAGTAGAAGAAAAGTTTTTCTTAAAAATGTAGACTTTATTAGCAAGGCAACAGAGAAAAAATTGCTGAAACTCCCTATTTTTGGCAACCAGTTGTTTAATGGACAATATTTTGAATCTCTCCATACGTCTGCAGAGAATCTACGAGATGCAAGAGAAACCCAAAATGTTTACAACACATCAAAGGGGTATAATAAGAACTTCAAGAGTAGAGATGGTAGGAACTCCACCGAGTTCAGTAGGAAGAGGAAAGCAGATGTAACTGAGACCTCTGCTCTTTCTGCTAAAGTGGCTAAATCAAATGAGACAAGTATTACCTTGAGTTCTGATCAGGGCAAGGACAATTTTCGTGCAGGACAGGGAAACAGGAAGAATTCTTTTTCCAGGAGAACCTTTGGGGGCCAGAAAGGATTTCCAACTCCAAGGAAGTGAATCTTGTAAACAAACAGTCTGTAAATATGCTTCCCCAGGTAGGGGCACGTTTGTTAGCATTCCACAGGAAGTGGACTTCAATCACTCAGGATCAATGGGTATTAGAAACCCTAAGGGAAGGGTTAAAATTGGAGTTTATGATTCAACCCCATGTAAAGATCAAGGAAACGTGTGTACCAAGATATGGTATTCACGAATCAGTTATTTCAACAGAAATAAGCATGTTGTTAGAAAAAGATGTTATAGAACCTGTACCTGTCACTCAAGAAAACGAAGGGTTTTACAGCACCATTTTTGTGGTGCCAAAGAAACAAGGAGGGCTTCGGACAATTCTAAATCTGAAACCTCTAAATCAGTTAATAGTGCCTCGACATTTCAAAATGGAGACGCTATGTTCTATAATGAAAGCAATGAAAAAAGGGGACTTTGCAATCTCACTGGATTTGACCGATGCCTATTTTCACATTCCAATTCACACAGATTTCCAGAAATTTCTACGATTCAAATTTCTAGACCAGAGTTACCAGTTTCGAGCAATGCCCTTTGGACTTCGTTCAGCTCCAAGGGTCTTCACAAAAGTAATGGCAGTTCTTGCAGCACATTTAAGAAAAATGGTAATGCAAATATTTATGTACCTAGACGATTGGTTGATGATCAATTCAGACAAGACAACTCTTCTTCACCAGAGAGACTATGTCTTACATCTAGTTCAGGAACTGGGATTATTAGTAAATTGGAAAAAGTCGTCTCTAGTGCCATCCCAACATATAGAGTATCTAGGAGCACATTTCAATCTGGTAGAGGGCATCGCAACACCCACAGAATCCAGGTTTCAGAGTATTCTGGACATGGTGCAGACTTTATCAATAAGTCAGCACACTCAAGCGGTAGTAATTCTCAAATTGTTAGGACTGATGGCTTCATGCATTTATCTTGTTCCGATGGGAAGGTTACACATGCGTCCTATACAGTTATACCTGTTAGCAATGTGGAGACCAAAGATTCACCCTCTTACTCATGGGATAGTGATTCGTCCAATCTTAATTCAGCACCTTCAGTGGTGGATGAATCGGGAAAATTTTTTCAAAGGAATGCCTTTGCAAGATCCGCCAAGTCAACTGACTTTGATAACAGATGCGTCAGAACAGGGTTGGGGAGCACATCTAGAGAACTGGGAGACATCAGGGGTCTGGTCCCAGCAATATCAACAGAAACACATAAATTGGCTAGAATTAAAGGCTGTACAATTAGCTCTTCAAGAAGCCTTATTTTTAATAAAAGGGAAAGTGATCCTTATACGGTCAGACAACACAACAGTGATAAGTTATATCAACAAGCAAGGGGGGACACATTCACCAGAACTGTGTTATCTAACTTGGGAGTTGTTCCAGTGGTGCATTCAGTACAAAATTACAATACGAGCTGTTCACATTCCAGGGAAAAAGAATTTTCTTGCAGATGCACTTTCCCGGGGAAAAATAGTACGAATGACGGAATGGTCGCTCAACAACACTGTTGTAAAATTGTTGTTTCAACAGATGGGAACCCCATGTATAGATTTGTTTGCAACTGCGCAAAACAAGAAGCTGCCAGTCTATTGCTCCCCATTTCCAGACATCAATGCTCTTCAAGTAGATGCACTAGCAACCAGTTGGAAAGGGATGTATGCTTATGCATTTCCACCACCAATTCTTGTGCCCAAAGTCTTACAGAAGATACGGGAAGAGGCAAGTGTTGTACTACTCATTGCTCCAATGTGGCCCAGGCAGTCTTGGTACCCTCAGTTAATAGATCTTTTGATCGATGTACCAGTCAAGTTACCACTGTGGCCAGATCTTCTGTCTCAAAATCACAATCAGAATTTTCATCAAAACCTAGAAACTCTCAATCTTGTAGCATGGAAACTGTCAAATTGCAACACAAGTCAAGAGGATTTTCTGAAGAAATTGCAGAAATTATGGCAAATGCCAGAAAGACATCTACACAATCAGTTTATGATGCAAAACTCAGAATATATAACAGTTGGTGTAAAGAACATGGTGTCAATCCCATTACAACATCTGTACCAGAGTTAGCAGAATTTTTTATTTACCTTTTCAAGGTGAGAAAGTGTAAACCACGGACTATAGCTGGTTATAAATCAGCAATAGCAATAGTTCATCAGAATGGAAGCAGTATTGGAACAAGTTCAGAACTTTCATCTTTGTTGAAAGGCTTATTTAATAAACACCCTTCTGTACGTCAGTTAACACCAAACTGGAACTTACCGCTGGTTTTGTTAACTCTCACAAAACAACCATTTGAACCTCTAGAGTCAGCGGATTTAAAGTTCTTGACTCTTAAGACTGTTTTTCTGGTAGCCATTGCCTCAGCGTCTAGAGTGAGCGAGATTCATAGCCTCACTTTAGATGATGGTCACTTTAGAATAGAGAGGAAAGGGATAAAAATGTTACCTAATATGGAATTCCTGGCAAAGACACAAACAATAAATAGACCTTGGGACCCTATTTATATTCCTGCATTTGATTCATATGCCACAGATTCAGAAGATTTGAAACTGTGTCCTTGTCGTGCTTTGAAGATTTATATCAATAGAACTAAAATGATTCGGAAGTCAAATAGATTGTTTGTGACCTACCAACAGAATAATCACAAAGAAGCATCAAAAGATTCCATTGCGAGATGGATAGTTAGCATGGTTCGTTTCGCATATGATAATGCAGAATCATCAACGTTAAATCTAGTTAGAGCACATGACACTAGGCGATTGTCAACTTCCTGGGCATTGTTTTGTGGTGTATCTTCAGAGGAGATTTTACGTGCAGCGCACTGGACATCTGAATCTACATTTACGTCATTTTATCTGAAGGATGTTCCAGATCATCAGTCCATTTTTGCCAAGGCAGCAATCTTGGACTCATCAAGGAGAGGGAAGCAAAATTAGGTAATTATGTATTTTTTTTATGTACTTTTACCATTTACTCTTTCCTCTCCCACCTCCTCCAGTTTGGGCTGCAAATTCCTTTGCAAATAGTTAAGGAGGCAGGTAAGTGGAAATATTGAAATGAACTTGGATTTTTGGGGGTAAAATCCGTGTTCATGAGATATTTACACTTACCTGCCTCACCCGCCCACCTCCCCTCTCGAGGAAGTTGAAAGGTAAGAACCTTTTAATTCGTCGAGAGAAACTGAAGAGTTATAGTTAAGGGGGATAACTGGAGGTAATACCGTAGTGACTCTAAAAATTTATCGACGCATTGTATGGGGAACTAGAGGGAAATTGCAAATAGTTAAGGAGGCAGGTAAGTGTAAATATCTCATGAACACGGATTTTACCCCCAAAAATCCAATTTTGCATTCAACTTACTTCTAATAAGGCGGAATTTTTATTCACTATCAACATCATAGCCCTTTATATGCGAAAACCAAGTAAAATAAATCTGCGTGTTTTCCAGTCGTTCACCTCAGCAGCCATGACAGTTCTCACGTGATGTGAGACTTGCGCTTGAAATTTAGAATCACTTGATAATGTAAATGTCGGTGTTGATAAATGTTTGTGTTGTATGATATAACTAAACATCGATAAATAAAAGCATTCCACGTGATATTTTTATCATAAACAGTGATATTTATGCTTATAATAAGAGAAATCCATACAGATCCACTCCCCTAGATCCCAAATTCTCATTGGTTGTCCCAATATAAAATCGATCAAGGTCAGTAAACATGGCGGATAAATTCAAGTTTTGATGTTGACATACACAAAAAATAACCGATATACGGATTGTTCTGTATATTTTTGGATCAATTCATGTCCTGCATAACTACATTTTATGAGTTCAGGTAAGATATGTTAATAAAATACCCACTTACTGATAATTTGAGCCGAAATCTGTGCGGTAGTGAATCACTCCCGCACTTGCACCATTACAGAGATCCTAAGGAGTTGTAGCCCTCTCCCAACAAAAAAAATGGAGAGGGTTACATTATTGCAGCTACTGGCTTATCAGTGGGTATGTTTCTCCACTAGCTTATCAGTGGGTATGTTTATCCACTTGCTTATCAGTGGGTATGTTTATCAAATAACTTATCAGTCAATATGTTTCTCCACTTGCTTATCAGTGGGTATGTTTCTCCACTTGCTTATCAGTGGGTATGTTTCTCTACTAGCTTATCAGTGGGTATGTTTCTCCACTAGCTTATCAATGGGTATGTTTCTCCACTAGCTTATCAATGGGTATGTTTCTCCACTAGCTTATCAGTGGGTATGTTTCTCACTTGCTTATCAGTGGGTATGTTTCTCCACTAGCTTATCAGTGGCTATGTTTCTCAACTAGCTTATCAGTGGGGATGTTTATCCACTAACTTATCAGTGGGGATATTTATCCACTAGCTTATCAGTGGTTATGTTTATCCAATTACTTATCAGTCAATATGTTTCTCCACTAGCTTATCAGTGGGTATGTTTATATGATTCTCTATCTTTATGATATCAGTGGGTATGTTTAAATGATTTTTGAATGGATATCTCTGTCTTGAAGGAGCCAAGAAAAATTTGGAAATGATATATTAGGGTTCAAAATATTGAGGTTAAAAAACTTAAAATACTATAAAAAAAAAACAACAATGGTTTGGACTTCCAGTTCACTTTGGCATGCCCATGGTAGTCAAGATATGTAATGTTCAAGATACCAGTATCTAATTGTACATATAACTGAAGTATACTCTGTAGATAGGACCAAGTTTTGACTAGCTACATTCTATGTATATGCATGAAAAACTTTCATTGTAATGACCTTAATTTTACTTGCTTTTCCAGACTGTTCATTACCTCTATGGATTTTTTACAACAATATCAGAGTTTTCCAAATACTCTGTCTTGTCCACAACGCCCCTGAACAGATCCTCCTTGATCCTCACAGTGGGTAATCAGCAGGCAGATCTTCCCATAGGGGTGTACGGAATCAACCTTACTGTAGTCCTGAATTCAGGAATCAATGCTACAGCAGTCACTATATTGGTTTGTTTTTATGCTATTAATTATACAGCAGTCACTATACTGGTTTGTTTCTATGCTATCAGTTATACAGCAGTCACTATACTGGTTTGTTTTTATGCTATCAGTTATCCAGCAGTCACAATACTGGTTTGTTTTTATGCTATCAGTTATTCAGCAGTCACTATACTGGTTTGTTTTTATGCTATCAGTTATACAGCAGTCACAATACTGGTTTGTTTTTATGCTATCAGTTATACAGCAGTCCTTATACTGGTTTGTTTTTATGCTATCAGTTATAAAGCAGTCACTATACTGGTTTGTTTCTATGCTATCAGTTATACAGCAGTCGTTATACTGGTTTGTTTTTATGCTATCAGTTATACAGCAGTCGTTATACTGGTTTGTTTTTATGCTATCAGTTATCCAGCAGTCACAATACTGGTTTGTTTTTATGCTATCAGTTATACAGCAGTCACTATACTGGTTTGTTTTTATGCTATCAATTATAAAGCAGTCACAATACTGGTTTGTTTTTATGCTATCAGTTATAAAGCAGTCACTATACTGGTTTGTTTTTATGCTATCAGTTATACGGCAGTCACTATACTGGTTTGTTTTTATGCTATCAATTATACAGCAGTCACTATACAAGTTTGTTTTTATGCTATCAATTATACAGCAGTCACTATACTGGTTTGTTTTTATGCTATCAATTATACGGCAGTCACTATACAAGTTTGTTTTTATGCTATCAATTATACAGCAGTCACAATACTGGTTTGTTTTTATGCTATCAATTATACATCAGTCATTATACTGGTTTGTTTTTACGCTATCAATTATAAAGCAGTCACTATACTGGTTTGTTTTTATGCTATCAATTATACAGCAGTCATTATACTGGTTTGTTTTTATGCTATCAGTTATACAGCAGTCATTATACTGGTTTGTTTTTATGCTATCAGTTATAAAGCAGTCACTATACTGGTTTGTTTCTATGCTATCAATTATACAGCAGTCACTATACTGGTTTGTTTCTATGCTATCAATTATACAGCAGTCACTATACTGGTTTGTTTCTATGCTATCAGTTATACAGCAGTCACTATACTGGTTTGTTTTTATGCTATCAGTTAAACAGCAGTCATAATACTGGTTTGTTTTTATGCTATCAGTTATACAGCAGTCACTATACTGGTTTGTTTCTATGCTATCAGTTATACAGCAGTCACTATACTGGTTTGTTTTTATGCTATCAGTTATAAAGCAGTCACTATACTGGTTTGTTTCTATGCTATCAGTTATACAGCAGTCACTATACTGGTTTGTTTTTATGCTATCAATTATACAGCAGTCATAATACTGGTTTGTTTTTATGCTATCAGTTATACAGCAGTCATAATACTGTTTCTGATTCTCTTTAGAAGTCACAGTTTAGCTTGTCTTTTACTATAAAGATCATTTATCAGGCTCTGTGGTTTTTGAAAAGTCTGTTTATCCTTTCATACCCTGCATTTATTCTATCCTATCTGGGGTTTTTTTCAAGAGAATTGCTGCAGGTATAGGTGTCTCTGTCTCTCTTTTTCTCTGTATATATATGTATGTATGTATGTATGTATATATATATATATATATATATATATATATATATATATATATATATATATATATATATATTGGGGAAAATTTGTTGAATTGTGTTGAATTTTTACAGGGATACTTTATCGTTGGATGTACTGATGTGACAGACCTCCAGGATCCAGACTGTTCACATATTCAGGATATTATTACACATGACATTTTGATTTCAACGAAGTTGTCAGATACAAGGTATAAATATTTAGGTCACCTGGGGCACAAACAATCATCCTGTTAAACATTTTTGTTGATTGTTGTGTGATATTTAAGCATTGAATTATTATTTTTTGAAAGATGTGGTCTCATAACCGCAATGGTGCATGCAAACCAATTGAGTAATGCGCTAATATGAAAATATGTATGCACACACTGTTGCAGTTATAAGACTACATCATTCTTTAAAAAAAATAATGATTCAGTACTTATATTTACATTTTATATCTTGTCTGCAAATGTGACTTGTATTTCAAAATCTCTGTATTATACCTTGGGTAAGTTACAATTAATGCAGCAGCTTAAAAAATTCTGTTCAAAATGAGCTTGAATTTTGATTTTCGCTTATGACGGTGCACTTGCACGACATTCAATGTTTGTGATGTCAAAATAAAAATGCATACTTTAACCTTTTGACCCCTTGTCCATGTTGTGGTGTTTTGAATGCAGTAGCTTTCCACACAACTTGTAAGCAAAATACATGTGGAAATTGTAAATTTATTTTTTTTTGTTGATCAGTTGAAAATTTTTAACATTTCCAGCTCCTGTGAACCACTCAACAATTTCAACCAATTACTAGTACATTGTTACATTGTTCTTTAAACCAGGTCTTACTACAAATTCTTCTCTTCCCTCTTTGGAAAGAACAGAAAATGATGAAATGAGTTAACTTATTAATTGAAGCGGCCTTGATATATAATTGTGAAGGAGGGTGTCATTATATTTACAAATTTTCTCCAAATTCTATGGTTATTCTGCCATTTTTTCCCAAACTTTTGATAACAGCAATGTAAGCAAAACATAAAATTGTGTATAATTTGCTTTATTTAAGTCATTGTAAAGGCCAGTCAGTTGTAACCGGAGGAAGTTATGTCCATCCCACAGAATTCTGGGAATTGGAGCAAGAAGCCAGAAATATTTTGTTAAATTCCTCTGCAAACACTATAATTGAGCACCCTTCATTCCAGTTAAAGTAAGTTCTGAATGGTGATAAGAAAATTTAGTATAAACAATTGATATTTATAATAACATGACATAATTTTGACATAATCACACCATGTCTCCTACATCATATGAATTAATTGTTACTTTTATTTGAGCTCTATCAGAATTTCTTCTGCTCTTAGATGCCTGTTTAACTGTGAAGATAAGGCTGTACCTGGACAGACCCTGCTACTACAGAGTCTCTGTGATTCCTGTCAATCTCATACCTGGACTGTGTATGGCTGTGGTACTCAGTGTGACGTGCTGATTGGTCCTCCACAGAATGGTTATAATTTTACTATCTCTGTTAATGAGAGCTATGAACAACAACAAATATTCTATACAGGTACATTGACACTGGGCTCAAAAAACATACTTTACTGGTCATTGAAGCCATTCAAAGACATTTTAATATATTTATTGATTCAGATAATAAATTTCAGTGGTCCATGTAACCAGTAAAATTAAAAATTACTAGCATGAATTTATAGAAGAAGCAGTTGCTGAGCATTTATTCTTTTTTCTATTACCTGATTCACTAGAGTGATTATTGCTACTTGTTTTGTCTGCAGTGGTCTATAAACTTTTCAGCTTCTACTCTGAAGTGGCTCAACTTCAACCTTTTTCTGTATATCATCTTTGATATAGCACATCTGTGGGTAAAGGAAACAAATTTTATGATCTAAGGTGACCCTGACTCAAAATCATTAGACAAGGTCAAGGTCGTGGAGATTGGAAAAGTGGATATATTATCTGTAATTTTACCTTCAGAGATTACATTTGCCATCCAGGAACTCGGCAAGCCTGATCCTAGATGGCAAAGCTATATCTTTAGCTGAAATTTATCCTTCAAACGAATGATTCTTATATTCTTCTGTTGTCTTTAATGTAAACTGTAAGAAGCTCACACTTGGTATAAATACAGTTGAACTTCTATATTTCAAACACGGATATTTCAAATACCATGGAAATGTCAAAGTGATTGGAAAGTCCTAACCACATATTTTTAAGTATTTTACCCTCTATATCTTGAACCCTTGGATGTCTTGGAAGTTTTTTCTCGGTCCCATCAAGTTCGAGATAATGAGGTTTGACTGTATAGGTTCTATACAAGGACGTGTGAACCCTGACTCAAGATCATTAGGACAAGGTCAAGTTCACCAAGACTGGATGTGAAATTGTTGTCTAGTCCTCTATTTTGACACAAAGTTAAGTAATGATCATGTCTTTAAAATCTTGTGAAGTGAAGCAGGGCTGTGATAAGTCTTCATACAGAAGCATCCTCAGGTATTTAGATTCAAGTTTGTTTCAGCCAGGGGCACTGGCCTGAGATAAGATGGGGCCATGTAGGGGATCAGAGTTTTAAAGGAAATATGTAGGGGAAATCTTGTTCTAGAATAGGGTTTAAAAAATCTTCCACTGAAGACCAACAGGGCGAAGGTGACTCAAGTGAGCAATATGGCCCATAGGTCTCTTGATAATTTATGATTTTAAAAAAAACAATTATGTATGTAAAACAAATATAATTTTGCAGTACTTCCAACTATGACATGTATATCTAGGTACCTACATGAGTGGGAGAAATGTATCAGCCCAGTATAACCTGACTGTGAACCTACCCCCTATCCCAGGAAACTGCACCATCACCCCCCAGTCTGGTTACTCCCTAGTGACAGCATTCAGTGTGTCCTGTCGGGGGTTTACTGACCCAGATCTCCCTCTGTCTTATGTTATCTATCAGAGACGGCCTTCAGGTAAATAGGCCATTTAAGAATTACATTTTGTCTGGACTCTCCTATAAAAGTGAGAAGAGTTACCAGAGATGAACAAAGAACATCAAATAATAAAATAAAGGGCTTCATGGAAAAATTCAGAAAGAATTTGTTCTTTGTCAAAAGATATGAGATAAAGTGAGCAATATGAGAAAATACTTTGACTTCATTTTTAGCTCACCTGAGCTGAAAGCTCAAGTGAGCTTTTCTGATCACATTTTGTCTGTAGTCCGTCTGTCTGTAAACTTTTCACATTTTTGACTTCTTCTCCAGAACCACTGGGCCAATTTTAGTCAAACTTGCCACAAAGCATCTTTGGGTGAGGGGGTTCAAGTTTTTTCAAATGAAGGGCCATGCCCTCTTCCAAGGGGAGAAAATTAAGAATTGGGGAAAATTTGTTGTAATCTTTTAAAAATCTTCTCAAGAACCAATGGGCCAGAAAAGTTGAAACTTATGTGAAACCTGCATTACATAGTTTAGATTCAAGTTTGTTCAAATCAAGAACCCCAGGGGTAGGATGGGGCCACAATGGGGGATCAAAGTTTTACATAGGATTATATAGATAGAAAAATTCTTCAAAAATTTTCTTCTCAAAAACAACAGAGCCACAATTAGTCATATTGATATGGAATCATCCTCAGGTAGTGTAGATTCAAGTTTGTTCAAATCATGACCCCCGTGGGTAGGGTGGGGCCACAATGGGTGATCAAAGTTTTACATAGGAATATATAGAAAAAAATCTTTAAAAATCTTCTCAAAAACAACAGAGCCACAATTAGTCCTATTAATATGGAAGCATCCTCAACTATTGTAAATTCAAGTTTGTTCAAATGATGACCCCTCCCCGGGTAGGCTGGCAGACATCTTTAAAATTCTGTTTTCAAGAACAGCAAAGCCATGATTAGTCATATGAATATAGAAGCATCCTAAGAAAGTTTAGATTCAATTTCATTCAAAACATGGCACCTGGGGGTAGGGTATGCCTAGAATAGGCGATCAAAGCTTTACATATGAATATATAGGAGAAGAAATTCTGCTGATGAAGAACAGCAGGGCCATGTTGACTCAGGTGAGCATTGTGGCCCATGGGCCTCTTGTTAGAATTTTAGTCTAAATTATATTTTATTTGAAAATAAAAGGTAGAAAATACAGGCAAATAGTACTGGAAGATCAAAAAGGATTCAGAAACAAGTTATATACTTGTACTAATCTGCTTCTTTAAAAAGTTCAAGAAAATGGGCATATTGCTTTGCACCTTTTGGTTGATAGGTCAGACAGTCAGTAAGTCAAATTGGTAGCTGCAATAATGTAGCCCTCTCTAATTTTTTTTTCTTTGAGAAAACCTCAGATAAAAAAATTGGAGAGGACTACATTATTGCAACTAGCCCTACATGCACCAAAGTTGCTGGAATGCTGCATCTAGGGATACACACTATAAGAACACTTATTTAGTGTGAGCCTTTACCTTAGTTGTAGAGTTGAGCTCTGTAATCTTTGGTAACAAATGTTATAAAGATGACAGAAGTTTCTAGCAGTATATACAGACCTGGCTTTAGTTAAACTGTAGGTATGGAGACAGAGCTGATGAAGTCTGATGAGGCATTGATTTCTCCTTTATATCTGAGTGAAGGCCCAAAAGAGAATAACTACACACAGAGGTTGACTGTAAAATGTATGGACAGTCGAGGCTTAATGTCAGCCACACCCATTACTGTACAGGTAACAACATAACTAAGATGAAGTCATGAAATGTATGGACAGTGGAGGCTTAATGTCAGCCACACCCATTACTGTACAGGTAACAAACTAAGATGTAGTCATGAAATGTATGGACAATGGAGGCTTAATGTCAGCCACACCCATTACTGTACAGGTAACAACATAACTAAGATGAAGTCATGAAATGTATGGACAGTGGAGGCTTAATGTCAGCCACACCCATTACTGTACAGGTAACAAACTAAGATGTAGTCATGAAATGTATGGGCAATGGAGGCTTAATGTCAGCCACACCCATTACTGTACAGGTAACAACATAACTAAGATGAAGTCATGAAATGTATGGACAGTGGAGGCTTAATGTCAGCCACACCCATTACTGTACAGGTAACAAACTAAGATGTAGTCATGAAATGTATGGACAGTCAAGACTTAATGTCAGCCACACCCATTACTGTACAGGTAACAACATAACTAAGATGTAGTCATGAAATGTATGGACAGTCGAGGCTTAATGTCAGCCACATCCATTACTGTACAGGTAACAACATAACTAAGATGTAGTCATGAAATGTATGGACAGTCGAGGCTTAATGTCAGCCACATCCATTACTGTACAGGTAATGACATAACTAAGATGTAGTCATTGTATGTGTTAAACTGACTATCAAACTATGGAAATCATTGTTTTTCATGATCAAGATATCAAGGTCTTTAACAGATTGTTTTGATCTGTCAAAATAAGATATCATATTCTGTTTCCTATTTATCTTCATGAGATGTTAATCTGTTTGGATTCATTTCTCATTTTAAAAAGTTTTTTCTACCTATAACAATGAACAAATAAAATGTACAATTATTTCTCTAATTATACTCTTATAAGAAATCTAACAAGCAAGGTTTTGCATTAGATGTCATTTATTTATTAAAGTTTAAAGACTTTTTACGGAAAAAAGAAATATTTCTTATAGTACTGATTATAACTTTTTCCGATAGATTTCAAACTACACTGTGTATTAAAATTCCATTCAGTGTATAAAATTCATTGCTATGATTAAATTTCCTGGTACTTTCAGTACTTTAATTTCTTTTGTCCTTGGAATAGGCTTATTCCTACTTTCACAGAATCTTGACCTTTAAAATTCAATATATTTGGATTCAATGTCTTACCAAATTATAAACGATGCATGAAACAAAGAAAGTGTCACATTTAACTTATGGATTAATAATTCGACTGTCCACTTTTCCTATTTCAAATCTTTGTGTTTTTATTCTATAGTACTTTCTAGAACATGTCTGTGCATCTATCTTTCTTGAATCTGTTTGTCTACAACTTGGCCCATATAATAATCACAGGACTTGAAGTTTTTGAGATGGCTGACTTCATATGTGTACAAGGTGCATGAATTTAAGACTTTTTGTCGTATCATTTTGGTCATATTTAATTCTCAGGATGATGTAGCAGGTTCCAGTTTGGTCAAAAAGTATTTTTTTCTCATTTTGAAATTAGTTTTTTTAGCAGTTACAAGTAATATATACCAAGTATGTGTGATAAAAATACACTGAGCATTGAAATATGTGTCTAGATGAAATATATGTGTCTAGATGAAATATGTACATGTACCTAGAATAAAGAACACATATGAAAGATTTCCTTTAAATGTAATTTTTTAGTAAAGTTGGGTGAACATTTGTGGTTAAGGTTCATTCATTTTAAAATGTAGTAGAGTTCTTAGAAGAACTTGTCATTTTGTATGTAACAAGGTAAATCCTGTGATTGGCTGCCTGTCTAACTGTGAAGATAAGGCTGTACCTGGACAGACCCTGCTACTACAGAGTCTCTGTGATTCCTGTCAATCTCATACCTGGACTGTGTATGGCTGTGGTACTCAGTGTAACGTGCTGATTGGTCCTCCACAGAATGGTTTTAATTTTACTATCTCTGTTAATGAGAGCTATGAACAACAACAAATCTTCTATACAGGTACATGTATATAATTATGGAATTAACAGAATTGCATGTTGTAATTGATTCTACAAACAACTTTTTTTTTTTATATAAGATGATGTCAGTTTCCTCAAAATAAAGATTTAAATTTATCGATTTTGAATGTTAAATAAGGAATTGATAGAGAAGGAGAAAACAATAGTAATCACTTTTCAGTGGGTAACAGTCTCTTTTTCATTCAGACAACATCTGTTTACGAAAATGAATGATTGTCCTATGTGTTTAATAGGAACCTTTCTCAGTGGCAGGAATGTGACAGTGCAGTATAACCTGACTGTGAATCTACCCCCTACCCCAGGAAACTGCACCATCAGCCCTCTGTCTGGTTACTCCTTAGTGACAGCATTCAATGTGTCCTGTCAGGGGTTCACTGACCCAGATCTCCCTCTGTCCTATGTTATCTATCAGAGACAGCCTTCAGGTAAATAGGCCATATAAGAATTACTCTTCAACTCACCTGGCTCAAGTGAGCTTTTCTGATTAAAATTTGCCCATAATGCCTTTTGTTGTTTTTTGTCTTCATTGTCGTGAACTTTTTACAATTTTTTCATCTTCTCCAGAAACACTGGGCCAGTTTCAACCCAACTTGGCTCATAGAATGCTTAGTGAAGGCTCTTGCACCACTTTTTGGGAATGGGGGCGTAAAGATTTGGAAAACAGCAACCTCTTAGGAAATTTTGAGATAACGGTTCTACTTTAAAATCATGATAAGTTGGGTTAATGATCTTTGTTATCAACTTAATTTTTGTTCTGCAATACAGTGGAATATTAATAGCAAGTTAAGTTATTATGTATCTATAAACTATATTTTCTTTAAGTTTTAGAAGAAACGACTATTGGGAAAATTAATGAACAGGTCCATTCTTAAGTAATTATGTTCTTTACTTGGAGCAGACATGCATGAATGATGCATCAAGAAATGTAAACTATAGGACTTCTTTTGAATGCTCTTCTGACCTTTCTGGATGATTATGTTCTTTACTTGGAGCAGACTCGCATGAATGATGCATCAAGAAATGTAAACTATCAGACTTCTTTTTGAATGCTGCTTCTGACCTTTCTGGATGATTATGTTCTTTACTTGGAGCAGGCATGCATGAATGATGCATCAAGAAATGTAAACTATTAGACTTCTTTTGAATGCTGCTTTTGGTCTTTATTTTCTGGATGATTAAGCAGGTTAAAGTTTCTGCACAGATCCAGTCCGTAGTAATTTTAAGTTGCTAGTAGTACCCAGATCAAACTTGCCTGACTGTTTCATCTAGGGATGCATACTATTAGAATACTCATTTGGTGTGAGACTTTTCCTTACTAATAGGACTTTATAAGGATATTTTTTGCTGCATATACAGAACTGACTTTACTTAAACTGTAGGTCAGGAGACAGAGCTGATGAAGTCTGATGAGCCATTAATTTCTCCTTTATATCTGAGTGAAGGCCCAAAAGAGGATAACTACACACAGAGATTGACTGTAAAATGTATGGACAGTCGAGGCTTAATGTCAGCCACACCCATTACTGTACAGGTAACAAACTAAGATGTAGTCATGAAATGTATGGACAGTCGAGGCTTAATGTCAGCCACACCCATTACTGTACAGGTAATGACATAACTAAGATGTAGTCATTGTATGTGTTAAACTGACTATCAAACTATGGAAATCATTGTTTTTAATGATCAAGATATCAAGGTCTTTAACAGATTGTTTTGATCTGTCAAAATAAGATAGCATATTCTGTTTTCTATTTATCTTCATGAGATGTTAATCTGTTCTGATTCATTTCTCATTTTAAAAAGTTTTTTCTACCTACAACAATGAACAAATAAAATGTACCATTATTTCTCTAATTATACTCTTATAAGAAATCTAACAAGCAAGGTTTTGCATTAGATGTCATTTATTTATTAAACTTTAAAGACTTTTACGGAAAAATGAAATATTTCTTATAGTACTGATAATAACTTTTTCCGATAGATTTCAAACTACACTGTGTATTAAAATTCCATTCAGTGTATAAAATTCATTGCTATGATTAAATTTCCTGGTACTTTCAGTACTTTAATTTCTTTTGTCCTTGGAATAGGCTTATTCCTACTTTTACAGAATCTTGACCTTTAAAATTCAATATATTTGGATTCAATGTCTTACCAAATTATAAATGATGCATGAAACAAAGAAAGTGTCACATTTAACTTATGGATTAATAATTCGACTGTCTACTTTTCCTATTACAAATCTCTGTGTTTTTATTCTGCAGTACTTTCTAGAACATGTCTGTGCATCTATCTTTCTTGAATCTGTTTGTCTACAACTTGGCCCATATAATAATCACAGGACTTGAACTTTTTCAGACAGCTGACTTCATATGTGTACAAGGTGCATGAATTTAAGACTTTCTGTCATATCATTTTGGTCATATTTAATTCTCAGGATGATGTAGCAGGTTCCAGTTTGGTCAAAAAGTATTTTTTTCTCATTTTGAAATTAGTTTTTTTTAGCAGTTATAAGTAATATATACCAAGTATATGTGATAAAAATGCACTGAGCATTGAAATATGTGTCTAGATGAAATGTATGTGTCTAGGTGAAATATGTACCTAGAATAAAGAACACATATGAAAGATTTCCTTTAAATGTAATTTTTTAGTAAAGTTGGGTGAACATTTGTGGTTAAGGTTCATTCATTTTAAAATGTAGTAGAGTTCTTAGAAGAACTTGTCATTTTGTATGTAACAAGGTAAATCCTGTGATTGGCTGCCTGTTTAACTGTGAAGATAAGGCTGTACCTGGACAGACCCTGCTACTACAGAGTCTCTGTGATTCCTGTCAATCTCATACCTGGACTGTGTATGGCTGTGGTACTCAGTGTAACGTGCTGATTGGTCCTCCACAGAATGGTTCTAATTTTACTATCTCTGTTAATGAGAGCTATGAACAACAGCAAATCTTCTATACAGGTACATGTACGGTATATAATTATGGAATGAACAGAATTGCCATT